TATAATTTTGGCAATTTCGCCGGCTTCCTTTTTAACTGCACATGTTACTCAGCAAATTATTTAAATGTCTATCTGAGGCTTTTAGAAGTGACCGGATTTCCAATTATCACACTTACCTATCCTGATGGTGAACTGAATTCTGTTGCTGAGACCGATTTCTGTTCCACAGATCAACTTTGTAATCGCAGCATACGTCATTCAAATGCTCGCAAGAAAGCTCAAGAATTCTTCTTCGACACAGATGAATAGAATCAAGTGAGTATTCCAGACTGAGGTCACGAAAATCTAACCTTATCAAAGAGGTTTCCGTATTCGTATTGATCTTCGGGATAAAAAGAGTGACTCATTGACACGAAATGCGTTATGTTATGTCTTATACAGTGGTCATAGAAACGTACAAAGCAACTACAACTGTTAAATTGTATTACAAAAAGAATAACTACATAGAAAACGTAAGATATTACTTTGAGAATTTTTCACGATGAATGGCCCACAAGTATCATATAATTATAATACTGGAGATTGTGGTGAAAAGCCCATTTGCGCAGAGAACGGAGTTCCTCTTTCTGTCGCAAGCAAATTCGTCTCCAAGAACTGTTTTTGGCAAGGAATTTTGAATTTGGGTTGCATGTTTTTCGCAAAACATGTTATAGTTTCTTCAGTTTATATTATAATTATACTTTGTTTCTCTTCTTTCAACAGAAAAAGCGCCAAAGCGATAATAATTCTGATCTCCCTTTTGGGGCTGATATACCTCCTTGTATTCTACCTGCCGGGAGATAACCCTTCCAGCGAGTATTTTGTCGCTGTTGTTTATCCACTTCAGGTAAGAATAAAACGCTACTAACAACGCTAGTCATCCTCCTTTTTCTACGGAAAAATCAATGGCTCGTGCTTCTGTCGAACAAGCCAACAAATAAAGGAAAAATAAATAAAATAAAGCACTTTATTTAAGTGTCGAAGTGTTATGCACTGCTGTATTAATCATATTGTGAACACTGAAATAACCAAACAAATATTGTAAAAAAATAATCCCAACTGGTAGGAAGCTGACCAGTTGACTATTTAAAAAGCGTGGAGGACTTGAATCTGGAATCCATCTCGTGGCAGGCAGGAGGATTTGAACCCGGGACCTCCGAATTACAAATCCAGCGCCCTCACCACTAGGCCTCGCCGCCTCCACAAACGTAACCACTTTCATTAGACGTGGAGAGCGGAGACTTCTATATGAGTGATGCCTAATCTCGATCCCAGATTTCCCGGATCTCGCTCTGTTTGACGCTTGGCCGTGGCAGATCTGGGTTGGAGATTAACTTATGACGCCAGTTTAGCAGGAGGTCTTGATTCCCGAAAAATCGTGATGTATGAATCGGCGCCCTACGCATATCAGCGTGCACAACCCATGTCTTTTCTCCAGTGGCAGTAATCCGTTTCGTATCCAACTTACAGCGCTGAGGAGAGAGCAAATTCGATTAAAATGTTGGCATGTTCATGGTGAAATGTATTTACCGCGAAATTTAATTTGGCCGGCCGGGCTGTAAATTATTAGTCGAGCCTGAAAGCGAGCAGTTCTAGTATCCTTCGAATCTCTCACGTTTTTTTTTTTTTTAACAGGGAATAATGGTCTGTATATTTTGTGTGTTCCTGAGCTCGGAGTTTCGTGAAGCCCTCAAGAGACATTGGATGAAATGGAGATATGGAATAGAAATAGAGACGGTGAGGAAAGTATATCATTAAACACGCGATTCGGACCTAACAAGATCGGCCGATTCTGCCTTTTAGAGAAAGGCGACAGTATACATTATCGTTCATCCAGATACCTTAAAGTGCCAATGAAATGAGCAATTGTTTCACCCAGTTTGCTTGCTTATGTCCTTATCAACTCAGATATATCTGTTTAACTAGCCTGCCGAGCAGGTGTCCTCGTACGGAGAGCTTTTTCTGCGTTCTCCGCCCGCGCGCAAATTCGATCGAAAGCCCCGGCACCACTCCCTACTTAGTCGATTTTGCTCTCGCTCCAATTTGCGCGCGGCCAGAATGCGGAAAAAGCTCTCCGTTCTTTCGGGAACGCTTGCCAGCCAGACTACTGTTTAACCGATCAAAAGCGTTTTCTTGTAGCAATATTTGGATCTCGAAGTTTGACACAAGATTTAGTGTTATGTTTGCACCATGTATGTACTTTGTCCACCGCGCCGCGCACATAAAAACTGCTAACTGATCTGAGAACCAATCATGTTGTGATCGCCACGTCTGTTGCATCTAATCCTCCTGTCTATTAATGCTATTCATGTCCCTAACAATTTTTCTTCTCCATTCTAGAACCCATACGCGACAGGTCGTGATAATGAGGCAGGACCTTCTGGTGAACAAGAGGGAACCTCCGCAACCATGCTTAGAACAGAGTCCTCAGAGACAGTACCACCCAGAGCCCTCTCAATAGCGTCCCTACGAGATAAATCAAGGTAACGGGAGTCCAGCTTTGATTAAGGTTGTGAAAACATATCGTGGAACCAGAATGATATTCTTTTAAATTAAATGCTACAAAGGTTTATGACTGTTGGTTCTGACTTACGATTAGCTAAATAAGAAGGTCAATTTTGAAAGGAAAGTCAATCGGCTTTTCCAGTCCGTCAGTGGTCGTCCGTGCGTTCTCCTTTGTTAGCGCGTAAGAGTTGGAAATAGGAGAGTAAGGTTTGGAGCACTGCTAAATACTTTCGTGTTTCTACACCCCAGGTGTTAAATTGGGTTCTGCCAAGCTGTTGCAGAAAGCTGAGAATAGTTCTGCCGGAGGAACGAGAAACAAGCGATAAGTTAGCTAGCATTTTAACTGACCAGTAATGTTCCTAGTTGTTTTACGCAGCGTGGAAACCGAACATACCCACAGTTCCAACATACCTACCTACCGTACCCAGCCACCTACCTGCCTACCTACTTGCATCTCCCTTACTAACTGGAAACCATATTTTCAGTGGCCAGTTGCCCAAGGACGCTTCTCACAGGAGGAACACTCAGATGTCTCTTCTGTCTCGATCAAGCGATCTCACAAGATTTCGCCTCGCGAAGATTGAGCCTGAGCCCATGGTTCCACTACGGGTACAGTCAGTGGGCCCAGGGGACTGGGTCCCACCGACGCTTCAAGCAGTCAAGGCCTGGGGAGTGATCGAGTTGCCTAAGGTAAATGATTGGAGATAAAATATTTGAGACTTTTACAGCGCTTGTGGAATAATTTGTCAAAATAGCTGCTTTCGTGACTTAAAAGCTAAAGTGTTTCGGCGTTCAAATCGTGTATTCAGTTTCATAGACAGACTAGTACCCAGGCCTGCCTTTCTGGATCGCTTGATTTGTCACTTATTTCATGACGTCACCGGCTCTGGCCGGTACGCAAGTTTGAAGTATGCTTAGATAGCGGGTTGTTTCATGAGCCATGTTCATTTTGAATAAGACAAAATTCTTTAAAACTACTCAAATTCAAGGGTGAAAATCATATTTGAGTCAGTGGCCACAAAATTCGTCCAGAAGATATCAGTCTAATCGAGGGAAAGTAAGGCTAAAGCCCTATATAGCTATCGCGAAAAAGTTTGACCGCCAGAATGACATCTAGAAATGCCAATATATGGATTGGCTGTGGGTTTTGTAGCGCAAAAAAAAAACAAAGATTTCTTGATATCTTTATTCCACAGAATTCAGATGAACCGACTGCTAGCGAAGGGCATGCAAATGAAGGTTTCTCGGGTAGCCGTGCTTCGCTTGCCGGCCGCAAGAATTCTCTTTATTCCGCAAAGCCAGAGACGGAACCAGTGGAATCCCAGACAACATCTCTAGTAGAACCGGAAACAAAGACAGAAGACCGTGAAGAGTCTGGGAGATCTGGAGAGCCAAACAACACTGCAAAAGATGATACGAGAGAGAATTCCACACCACAACAATTTGAAGACCAATTTTCGCCGTTCTCGAGTCAACTGTTCGAGCACGAAGATGAAGTATATAAAGAGTCTCCGAGCTCAAGTCCTGTGGCAAGTGTGGAACCTGTTACATCTGGCGGTGAAACGCCGACAGCTACAGCAGGCTCGAGTTCATCCCAAGATGCCGAACCATCGACAAGCGCTGAGGATTCAAACGCTTCTTCTCAAGGAAAGGGATTCTGGGACAAAGCACGACTATTGGCGTCACAAAGACGAAGATCTCGGATAGAACACAACAAGGTGTTGTCCAACAACGACGGTAAGATCATCTGTGTCAGTGGCTTTAGTGGTCTGACACAAATCATTGAGTGTTATCAAGAGTTTTTAACCAATCCACCTTGGGCGGCATTCAGGGTGAAAAAAATCATTGCAACGAAGGGAATACCAACAAAGTCCACCAGCAAAAAGTTTAAGGGATCGTACAACGGAAGGGCTTTGCTCGTGTTTACGTGTTTATACACTCCTTAGTAGCTTCGACGCGGAAATGTGTTAAAAAGCACCTTGGAAATTCTTTTTTAAAGGCTTGGTTAAAGCGCAACAACCGCCGTTTTAGACAAGCAGCTGGCCTATCGAGCGTTAGTGACCAGAAAAGTGACTGGCTGACGTCAACCCGTCCAGCTGTACAAATTCGTTCCCAGTTTCCTCTCTCTTTCCCTCGAGCGAAGAAGTAAGAGGACCCTGGGAACGGGGTTGCCGTTTCTACACACGTGAGTGCGTGGTACGTATTTCGATAAGATTGTGTCAGCGGAGACCGAACGGTGCTTTGATGAATCAGTTTAGTGTATAGGTATGCGTCTGTATACGAGCTAAGTGGCCCATCAGGCTGTTGCTTATCTCCGGTTTCTGTAGCATGAAGCCACTGGGAGTATTTCTACTCCCCCTGGATGGGATTCTAGTCCATCACAGTACCCATCTATACACCTGGGTGGGGAGTGACTCTGTGAGGGTTAAGTGTCTTTCCCAAGAACACAACACGATGTCCCCGGCCAGGGCTCGAACCCGGACCTCTCGATCGGGAGCCGAGCGCCCGAGCCATGAGGCCAGCCTGCCTCCCATGTAGTCTATGGACAGCTAAAATATTGACTAACATGAACCAATCCTCCCACAGATTCCTCACAACTTCGTCACACAGACAGATTTAAACAAGCTGATGAATATCGAATGGCATGGATCGCCAACATTCTCAGAGGATCTAAATTGCGTGGTATGTTCACTCCAATCTATTCTTTTAATTTTGCTTTAACTGTTTTTGTTGTTGTAGTTTATTTATCTTATTTATTTCATTGCATTTCCAGACAATGAGAGCGAAGCGTGAATCATACCTACATGAGTCATTTGCACGTGATCTGTCACGTGATCTCGTCGTTTACTACAGATTGGATGAATTCTCGGTCGCCCATCGTCACGAGGCAAACATCTGACACATGGAGTGAGAAATGATGTCAAAGAGGTCCTCATCTTTGAAAAGCATATTGTATAAACATGATCTGAAACCTGGTGCGAATAATAGAGTTTTCAAAACAAATCTGAAGACTGTGGGTCTTCTGCGAGATTATTGTCAGTTTCAGAGGAGAAATTATTTAAGTTATGAATGTTTATCGCATCTTATTGTTTATAATCGAAGTGGGCTGATGGAATTCAATTTCCTTCGCTCGTTACGAGCCCCCCTGGTCTAGAATTTGGGAGGTGTTTTTAGACAAGTCCAGGTTTGACACATGGAGTGAAAACTGTGGTCAAAGACCAGGCTTTTCCCTAGGCTCTCCTCCCTAGCTGGAGTACAGTGTGTTTGGTTGTGGAGTTTTTGGCCTGCTGCACTCCAGAAACTGGTTTTCACCGTCTAACCATCAAGCTCCGCGCTCCCTGTTTCCCGGTTTTTCTACGATTGTGACGAGACAGATAACTGTTACATGGAAATGGCCCCCAAAACATGTTAGTTTTTGTGTTGTGTGTCCCATATCGTTTGCATGCGCGGTGGCTTAATGGTTTGCGTGTAGAATTAACGGTCCAAGACTTAATGACCTCCCTCTAAAAATGTCTCTCATGACTTAGGCTGCGTCTACATAACGCCCGGGGAATTTGAAAATGGAGGTTTCACGCTGAAAACGCATCAATTTTTTTCCCTCCACACGGCGCGGAAGGAATTTAAAAGGCAACAATCACGGATCATTTTGGATTTGTGCTTGAGAAAAACTCAGTCAGGGAAATCACATGATTACCGTGACGCCAAAATGTTCAAAATGTTTTCCGTCCACAAGATGGAAACGAAAGGCCCGCATTTTCAAATTCCTCCGGTTTGAAGGGCATTTTCGAAAAGCTCCGTTTTCGGGACGGATTAGTGTGGTCGGTAGGCCTAACTGAAAATAAAGCTGCGTTTTGAAATTTCTGCGGCGTGGTGTGGACGTTGCCTCATGGATATAAATGAGTACCGAAGGGAGGGAAGGGCTGACATTAAATGTGTACGGGGGGACGTGGCATAATGCTGGGGGGTAGGGTGAACTATTTCATCCTTGTTATTTATTTTGAACTGGAGAAATTTATGGTGGCTTTATCAACGTTGAAATGTCTTTCACATGGGGTGAAAAATGTGAAAAGATGATTTTATCCCTTCAAAGACCCTTACCTACGTTGAACAAATGTTGTTTAAATACAAACTAAATGAAATTAAATATATTTATCAACTTATCATCAGTTCTACCTTTTATTGTTATAATAGGTATTCCTACACCGTCTTCTCTCTCATCAACACCTTAAAAATCCTCACAAAAATTCTTAAAATTTCATAGGACCTTCCTCTACAAAGCTATGAGACATCACTATGCTGATTGCATGAATTCCAACCACTAGAGAAAATAAACAAGACAATAGTGATACAATCCTCGATTCTTGCAGTTCCACTTTCTAACCACTCAAGGTTTTCAGTGCTATGCAACCTTCACAATCAAACCAGTTTAGCAGAGTATAGGTGAACTCCTCTACAAAAATTCTGGGGCAAAAATTATTAAGTGGACATTGTATGTAGAGTTGGCCTCTGTTGGGAGGTTTCCATGACAGTAAAGAATATGGATTGACACAGGGGAAAATAATTCCTGGTTACTGCAGTGAGGTGGCAGTTACACTTTGTATAGGAGATGTTTTAAGTTACAAAGTATACTTAATCTTTCTGACAGAAGCTCTGTCCATGCCTGTTCTTCAAGAGGCAGGGCTGGCAGCAGCTGACAGAGTGTCTTGGAGAAGTAAAAATTTCTGGCCCCACTCTAGATACAGAGAAGCAGAACTGATGGTGTTCTTCAACTAAGTCTCTGGGACATTGGACAAATGGTCACTTCGGAGATATGCCGCAGCTAATTCTCATTGACATGATTTCATTTTTACTTTTTCTGGATGATGGAGCAAGTTCGGTCCTTGTTGAATCATCAGTCAAAATGTGCCTGCCAGCTAAGCATGAAATTAAAAACTTTTCGTCTCAAGAAACCTCTCTGAATAAAATGGCAAATAGATGTCTGATTACTAGTAAAGTATCCACTGTACAAACAGTACATTGACAGAATGGAAGCTACCAATCACAACAAGTCAATAAAGTGCTAGTCTTTGAATGTTGACTTTTGACCCACTGGGCTTAACGTCTGCTAAAAACCCATCCACTCTAGTTATGATTGACAGAAATGTATTGTGTACTGCACAGTCAAGGTTTTGTCCTGAAGATCACACAACAATGAAACCTGTCCTGTAAGTCACAGCAAGCACAAGGTACGTGGCTTTTCAAAAATTTCCTGTCCAAGCACGATGTGAAAATCTTATTCACAAGTCACTGAGTAGCAGTAGTAACTTGATAAGATAGTAATTTCTCATCTTGTTGCAGCTTCACTCAACTTTGTTTCTGATGTGTTTTCTCAGTGAAGGAGGTTTGTTCAGGAATGGGTTCCACGTTCCTTGTATCGAAGGATTCTCAGTGTGCCAAAATTTTCTTAGTTTCTTTACTTCCTCTCCTGATTCATTTCTAAGGCTTGTGACTATTTCTTGAACCTCTTCTGGTTTCATCTTCCTCGCATTGATCTCTTTGGTGTTACCACTTACTAAGGAAGTAAAGTAAA